AATATAGTTTTTGTATTTCTAAACTTAATTACAACACTATCACAGTTTATTCTGCATTTTCTGAAGCCTGTTCAACTATTCAGAAAATGATGATCTTTGTTGTGCGTGAAATTATTTCTCTCTGTCTATCATGTGAGTCCCTGGGAATCCAACCCCATTCATCAGTCTTGGCAGCAGGCACCTTTACCCTCTAAGCCATGTCACCAGTCCCCCCTAGGAATGCACTCTTTCTTCCTAGGCAGCCTGTAACTGTTTGTAGTGAGTCAGGTGTCACTGTGTCTCAGGCTGGCCTTGGGCCTGGGCTCACAAGCCTCCTGTCTCAGCTTGTGTTCCTCCTGCCTTAGCCACCCGAATGCTGGCCTTATAGGGATGTGCCAGCATAAAACCAGCTTTTAAAACAGCAGGGATGGGCTGAGGGGGTGCCTCAGAGCTTAAGAGCACTTGCTGCTCTTGCAGAGGACCCAGGTTTAGTTCCCAGGACCTGTGTTTGTTTCCCAGCACTCACAGTAGCTTCCAGCCATCTGTAATTCCACAGGATCTGACACCTTTTCATCTCCTTGGGCACCAGACACATGCATGCACATAATGCATACAGGCAAAACACTCACACACGTAAATAAATCTTAAAAACTGTTTCAAACTGTGAGAGGCCCTGAAGTGAGCTCCTAGTCGGTGCCACATCCGCAATGAGTGGTCTTAGTGGTGAACACTCAGGAAGCTGGGGCAGGGAGGCCGGCATGCAGACTCCCCCCCAACCCCAAGCGCTCAGGACTAGGGGTACAGCTCAGTGACAGAGTGCTTTGCTAGTTATGTAGGGGGACCAGGGTCTGTTCTCAGCCCTGGGTGTAGAAGACAAGCCACACAATTCTGTTGTAGTAATTTAGCTGGTTTCTGTGAGGTTTTGACTGGAATCCTTAGTGCCCTGAAGAACTGCTCTTGAGCTGATGTCTGTGTCCTCACGGAGCCGGAAGCTGTGCTAATCTGACCCTTGATGAGGCTCCATTGATTATCTGAGATGAGGCAGGAGCACAATGGCCACTTCACTCTGTGCTCATGGAGAGCTTTGTCATCACTACCTTCTCTAGCTTTCTAATTTCTGAACCGTATAGCCCCTTACTGTGTATAACCTTATGCTCCGTTCTCCCCAGTAGATAAAGGGGATTTACTCGAGTTCCTTGGTTTTGAATCAGAAAGTCAGAGTTCTCCTAATAATGAAGACATGTTTAACCCCTTGTGTAAGTGAACTCCTTTGTGCTGTGTAATACTACTGCCAACAGTTACTGAAAAAACCCACACTGTGCCAGCACAGCACTTAATCAGATCATCAGTCCATATTAGCTTTTCATTTAATTTTCCAATTATTTTAAGTGAAAAGAAAATGGCAGTAGAATTGTAGAGATTAAGCTCTTTTGTTCATCAGAGAGGTTTTCTTTATAAATCATTTTATAAAGAATTTTTTAAAGATTTATTTGTTTGTTATATATACAGTGTTCTGCCTACATGTGTCCATTGCAGGTCAGAAGATGGCATCAGATCTCAGTACAGAGGGTTGTGAACGGCCACGTGGTTGCTGGGAATTGAACTCAGATCCTCTGGGAGAGCAGCTGGTGCTCTTAACCGCTGAGCTATCTCTCCATCCCTAAAGAAACGACTTATTTGTGTATCTCACATAGAAGAAATTGCCAGAGATCTCAGAGCAGCATGCTCTGTGCTGCAGCATTGCACAGGACACGTTCCTGCCATTTTTGGCTGTGCATGCCCGGCACAACAAGACTCATTGTGACATTGGCACCCACTTGCTGTGGGTGAGACTATGCTTCCAGAACTCCTGTGAGACACTAGCCCCCAAGCTGAAGACCTTTAGCCTAATACTTGAATGTTCTCTGACTTTAATTGTGCTTATGCTTATTTGTGTCTATTCTACCTGATCCCTAAAAGGAGCCAAGGCTACTTCATGTTAATAAAATAGTTTGACAATGGAGCTTATATTAGTACTTTAAAAAGATTGTAGTAGGCTAGGGCTGGTGGCCCATACCTTTAATCCCAGCACTCAGGAGGCAAATAGATCTCTGAGTTCAAGGATAGCTGGGTCCACACAGTGAGTTCCAGGCCAGCCGGGCTACACAGAGAAAGCTTGTCTCAAAAACAACAATAACAGCAAAGATTTTAGTATTTAAACTTTGTGGATGATGACGTATGGAATAATGAGTGCTTAATTAGTAAAGAAGACTGCTGAGCTTAAGGAAATACAGGTATGTGGAGAAGCATCTGGCATTTTGGCCCCTTACTGGCTTGTATGAGTCTTGGTATACACCTTTCTCTGGCTCGGTGTGCTCATTGGTAAAGGGAACCCTTGATTCGTAAATGACTGATGAACATCTAGAGCTTATATTCTTGAGAAGATAAACTTCAGAGACTATAGAGTCACGGGATCAGCAAGGCCAGACATCTAGGACAGGCTCACCAAGAGGGCCCATCCATGTTCACCAGTGCAGAGGGCAAGGCTCACCAAGAGGACCCGTCCATGTTCACTGGTGCAGTGGGGCCCACCCAAGTGCATGTGTGGGGTGTCTGTCTGTCTGTCTGTGAATCCACTAAATTCTAGCTGGCTTCTAGATTCAGGGGTGTCCTTTTATAGTTCCTCTAGTCACACGAGCACCTGCTTCCAATGTCTCTAAGTTTACAACAGAAGTTATAGTGGTGGTTGTCCTGCCCTGTTACCCAGGTTTGGGTTCCATCTTTTTGATCAGGTGGCAGTGACTTCTGGAATTCCTGGTGGTTTCAGGTTGTCAGGGTATTGGAGGAGGAGCCATAGCATGCAGTTGTTGACTCTTGAGTGTTGAATTTGTTAATTGTTTAGCATGTAGATGTGCATGCCTGCATGTGTGCGCACGGATGTGTTACCTTGCAGAGTCTGATAGTGAAGACTCAACAGCCAGACTGATTGTAAAATCCAGCCTTCCATCTATCAGTTTTGTGTCATTGGGCAGACTCCTCCATTTCTCTAAACTGTTCCTTATTTCTTAATTTTTATTTAAAAAATTTAACTATTTACTAGGTGCGGTGACACTCATCTTTAATCCCAGCACTTAGGAGGCAGAAGGAGGTGGAGTTCTATAAATTTGTAGGCAAGCCTGGAGTACATGCCAGCAAATGCTGCATAGTAAGACCCTGCCTCAAAATTTAAAAGAAATAATTTTTAGGGATTTAAAAAATTTTGTGTGTACAGGTGCTTTGTCTGCATGTATGTCTGTATACCACATGCATGTACTGATGCCAGAGGAGGCCAGAAGAGAGCATTGGATCCTCTGGAATGAGTTTCAATGGTTGTGAACCACCATGTGGGTGCTGGGAACCAAGCCCAGGTCTTCTGCAAGAACCACAAGTGCTCCTAACTGCTGGGCCACCCCTCCAGCCCCAATTTTTAAAGAGTTTATTTACTGTTTTGTGCTGTAAGTGTACCACAGGGCACGCCTGGAGGCTTCAGGGCAACTCTCAGAACTCAGTTCTTGGATCCACCATGGTTTCCAGGAATGCAGCTCCGACGGCCAGGCTCGTGTGGCAAATGTTTTTACCCTGTTGCTTATTTTAAAAATGGAGATTATAGTTCTTGCCTCATAGACTCACTGCAGTAATGAAATGAGTTTTTGTGTCATAGGTATAAACACACGCACACCATAATATTCAGCAACGCCAGCTTTTGTGAGGTGACTGTTGTTGCATGTGAGCTGTCCTCTGTGGCCTGGCCTGGTGTCTGTCTGACCACTCAGGTCTCTTTGCTTCGTCCCTTTTCCCCATGTCACAGCCCGGTGGTGTCTTCGCTCCGTCTAGATGACTCTGATTCTCTAAGTCAAGTGGATGAAAATTAAACCGTGTGTTGAAATTAAGAAGGCAGGAGTGGGCCAGGCACTAGGGAATAGATGTTTAGAACACCCCTTTGAACTAATTACTGGGCATCTACAAGGGTTGGTTTATGACCCTGAAATCAGAAAGTAATGAATTTGAATCAAGTCTTTTCATCATAAGATAGAATTTTTTTCAGTCATGTTTTAAAAGCAGAATTGGAGTATAGAAAGCAGACGGCAGTGTTTGTGAGCAGGTGGAGGGTAGAGAATCGAGATTCACAGAAGAGAGACAGAAACGGTCCGCTCTGGCTCTGGGATGTGAAGCCAGGCCGCTGAGCTTATGGGTAAAGCTGCTTGGCAGGCCTGACTGCCTGCATTTGACCTCTAGGACTCACATAGTGGAAGAAGAGAACCAAGTCCAGGAAGTTGTCTTTTAGCCCCGTGGCATGTACATGCACATGAAACAAATGTAATGAAGACATTCTACGTCTCATCTCTTCACAGGAAGTGGAGGGAACAGAAGAACTCAGGGTGATGCTAAGCAAGGGCCGTGGGGCTGTGGACAAACATCACAGACACAGAGTTTGCAAAAACACACGAAACAGTTCTGGTTTTGTTTTGTTTTGTTTTTTCCCTTGGACTTTAGGAAGCTTCTACCAGGTTTTTGACAGAATTCCCACCAGTCTGTTTCTCCCAGCCCCCAGCCCATGGTTGACTCAGAAGAATAAATGAAAAAGGCTATCCTCTAGGGACAGTAAGTGGCTCTGTGAGGTTAGAAGAGATAAGAGTTACTGAGTTTGACACCAAGGTAAAAAGACAGGATCTAGGCAAAGTTAATGCAAGGTAAAAAGTTTTACATCCAAATCACACTGCTGGGCATTGAGAGCTGCGTTTTTTACCAACTGTTCACTAAAAGTCATTTCCTCCTTTGTTTTTGTAAGAAGAGACTGTGTAACTGTTTTAAGACTATCATGAAAAGTTAAAAAAAAAATAAGTTTGTAAAGTAAAAGGGCTAAAAGCCTTGTGTATCTAGAAACTTCTGTTGTGTGGAAGACATCATGCTTATTTGTATGAGGAGTAACCATAGGGTAAAGCTGAAACCGTCGCTGAGAGATGAGTGCTAGCATACAGTTGTTTGTTTCATTGTCTTTACAGATTGCTTAACAAACAATAGTGAAGATTTGTCAAATAACACAGAGTATTTCCTCAGCCTATTTAACAAGACCTTGGCCTGCTTTGAGCATAACCTTCAGGTAAGTTATATAAACTTAATGCAAATAAGTAATGTGTAATTCTAACTTTTTACAGCATTGAATTTTATTATCTATTTGGAGTCATAAAGGAATTAGTGAACCTTTATTTCTCTTAGATTTTTTTTTCCACTTGGAAATAGTAATACTTCAGCTCAGAACCAAGTGTGGTAGCAAACACCCAGTGGTTGGCAGACGGGCAGAGAGGCAAGTGAATCTCCGAGAGTTCAAGGCTGCTGACCCACAAAGCCAGCTCCAGGCCTGCCAGGGATGCGCAGTGAGACTGTCTTATTAAAAAAAAAAAAAAAGGGAAGGGAATAAAGGAAATAAAGGGTTGGGGGTTAGAGAGCGATGGCTCAGTGGTTAAAATGCCAGGTGTGATGGCACTCGCCTTTAATCCCAGCACTTGGGAAGCAGAGGCAGGTGGATCCTGGTCTACAAATAGAGTTCCAGGACACAAAGAGAAACCCTGTCTTGAAAAACAAACAAAATGAAATAATAATAATAAATCTTAAAAGAAAGTAGGGGCTGGAGAGAAAATCTTAAAACAAAGTAGGGGCTGGAGAGAGCTCAGTGGCTGAGAGCACTGGTTGTTCTTGCAGAGGATGTGGGTTCAGTTCCCAGTATCCACATGGCAGCTCACATCCATCTGTAACTCCAGCTCCATGGAAACTGAATATCTTCTGGCTTCTGTAGACATCAGGCATACGCATGGTGCACATACATACATGCAGAAAACACCCATGCACATAAAATAAATTTTGAAAAACATACCTTTTTAAAATTGAAGTAATTTTTAATTATAAAAACAATGTCTTCTAGAACTAGCAAGTGTGAGGCACTGGTTCATTCAGTGAGAGCAAAGGTTCTCTAGAAGTTTCCACATACTTTCATACCATGTCCCCTGTTTTCAGAATCCTTACTGAAAGGAAGGACACTGCGGCACAGACATGAAGGGGAGGGACCTTGAAGGATGGGTGGGTGCTGGGGGAGAGAGGCAGTGGCTGTCAAGTGGGTGACTTGAGTTAAATGTTAGGATCCACATAGTGGAAGGAAAGAACCCACTCCCAACAGGTTGTCCTCTGACCACCATTTACACGCCACAGTAAGCGCGTGGCTGTGCATTCACGCACATGTGTGCGCTCGTACATGTAAATAAACAAACAAATGTAGTACAATTTTAAAAAGAATTCTGTTTTGAATGTGTTAAGTATGATACCTTTATGCTCCTATTAGACAGCCAAGCTCAGATGATGCTAACAATGAGGTAGGCAGGGCTGCCAGAGTGTCATTGACACAGTCCCACTTTAAGCCCTGAGACTAGAAGAGTGAAGGTAGAGAGAGATGGTAGCATGGCTGAGGGCTGATCCAGGCCCAGCTCAGTGCTTTATAGGATAGTGGGGCTGCGGGATGGGCAGCAACGAGAAGCCGGGGTGACAGCCTGACTTAGCAGCCTTCAGAATGGTCCAGGAGGAGGGTCACGTGTTGCACTAGATCCATCTGGGTCAGTAAATGTTAGCAGGTGTCTTCTCTGGAACCCCAGCCTGTCCTGCTGACAAGGCAGAGTGAAAGAGTGTCTACAGACAGGTAAGGCTACTGTGACAGCCTTCTGTGTCCCTACTCTGTGAAATTTGTGGGGAGAAGGGCCTAGCATCTTTCCTGGGTGCTGTGGGTATAGCCGGGCTTCCTGGGATAGTGTGAGCCCAGGTGCAGTGTTTTTCCATGTTCTGGCTTTAGCTTCTTTTCAGTGGGCCTTAGGGAAGGAGTCCTCAAAGCCCATATGTGCCATCATCTTCCATCTTCCTAGGACCTCGCTCCCTCCCTCCCTCCCTCCTTTTCAGAAGCTGTGTAGTGTTCAGTGTGTGATTACGATGCCATTTATTTAATTAGTCCCTCCTTGTAGCAGGCCAGATTTTGTTTGTGTTTGACTGTTATAAACTACTGCCACTCACGGCCGTTTTTGTTTTGTTTTGTTTTTTTGAGACAGGGTTTCTCTGTGTAGCTCTGGCTGTCCTGGAACTCCCTTGTAGATCAGGCTGGCCTCAACCTCCTGCCTCTGCCTCCCAGGTGCTGGATTAAAGATGCATGCCACCATCACTTTGTCACTCACAGCCTTTTTGCTCATCATTGGGATTCTTATAAGAAGGTATTTATTGGGGCTGGAAAGAGATGGCTCAGCAGTTAAGAGCACTATCTGCTCTTCCAAAGGACCTGGGTTCAAATCTCAGCACCCACATGGTGGCTCACAACCATCTGTAATAAAATCTGGTGCCCTCTTCTGGCCTGCAGGGATACACGCTGGCAGAACACTGTATACATAATGAATAAATCTTTAAAAAAAAAAAAGAAGAAGAAGAAGAATGTATTCAGTGGACTCCTAGGAGTGAAATGCCAAACCAAAAGTATATGCATTTAATTTTAGCAAAAGTAGTTGTATCACCCCTCCTGCCCTCCACCCAGCATTCTGTGCTAGATTCAAGGTTTTGGCTAAAGACACAATGGTTCTGTGGTAAGCCTTCAGTGCACACTTTCTTGTAGAAGTTTAAGGGTAGACATAGTTTGTTAGCTAGATGGTAAAGATCACATTGTAGGGTTTCCATCAGTTCAGTTGCTCTGATTTCTCTTTTTCTCTTTCATCTCCCTTTGTTCATGCTCCACAGTAAAGAATAAAAAAAGTGGAGAGCAAAGGTAACTATGTATTCAAAAAGACAGGCATCTGCCTAGAAGCCAGAATGGTGCTGGCATGGTACTTTACTGTCATCTCACACACACACACACACACACACACACACACACACACACACACACACACTCTATGTGTTATGATAAGTGTTTACTGCAAAGCCGCCTGATCCCTGCTGCCATGTGGGCGCTTTCCTCCAGGCCGCCCGAGTTCTGCCCACCACATTTAGGTCCCAAATAACACACAGAGACTTATATTTGCTAAAAATGCTGCTCGGCCAATGACTAGGATTTCTCATCTGTTAGCTCAGTCTTAATTATCAACCATAATCATAAGACTTATCTTATGGTGGATGCAGGTGGAATGCCTCCTGTCTTCCTGGCAGTCACATGGTGACTCCACAGAGAGGAGGAGGAAGAGCTAGAGAAAAGGGACAACTTCCTGCTTGTCCCTGCTTATGTATGAGTTTGCCTGCTATGTCACTTCCTACCTGTATCACAAGACTTCTTTTTACTACATTTCCCAGAATCCTCCTTGACTCCTAGTCCCACCTAACTTGCTTCTTCATTGGCCAACAGTACTTTATTCAACAACCAATAGGATAAACATACACAGAAGGACATTCCCCATATATGTGTGTGTGTATATATACGTATGTATGTACACACACACACACACACACACACACACACACACACATATATATGTATATATATATTATTCCAGCTGGTGTGTGGAGGCAGAGGCAGACAGATCTCTGTGAGAGCAGGAAGAAAGCTGTGCCATTTAAACTATGATGAGGTCAGACTCATGTGGCCAGCAGCCACATGTAGGGAGGGAGGCTTCGAGAAAGAGTAAGGAAGCCTAAGATTCCAGTGAAGCCCTAAGTGTAAAGGAAAGCATGTTAGAGAAGAGATGGAAGAGGGGAAGTCACACTTTTCTGAGTGACCAGGAAAGCAGGCAGATGTATGCAGCTTGTGGCTGTGACAGGTGCCGGCTACTTCTTCTCTTGATGATACCATTGTGACTGCACAGAATAGTGGCTTTGATTTGTGTTCGCCCAATAGCCATTTTTCCACTTACATTTCTTTTGAGATATGTCAATTATCTGTCCATTTATTGATTGATTATTGGTTCCTTTAGAGTTCAATGAATCTAGTTCTGTATGCATTTCTTGCATTGCCTATCTAAAGAGATGTCAGGGGAACAGCTGGCAGAGTCTCTGCCATTCTGAAGGCCTCCTCTTCCTTCTCCAAACTCTCACCTTTGCTGGACAGGCAAACTCCCCACCTTTGCTGGACAGGCAAACTCTCACTTTTGCTGGACTGGGCTTTGCAGTCCCACGCAGTTGCATTTGTGAATTCGTGCTTATTCCCTGAGCTGTTAGACTTTTTTGTTTAGTTGGTTGGATTTTGTTTTGTTTTGTTTTTGTTTGTTTTGTTTTTTCAAGGCAGGGTTTCACTGTGTAGCCTTGGCTGTCCTGGAACACACTCTGTAGACTAGGCTGGCCTTGAACTCACAGAGATCCTCCTGAGTGCTGGGATTAAAGGTGTGCACCACCGTTACCCAGCATCCATCCTCCCTTCCTCCCTCCCTCTCTTCCTCTCTTCCTTTCTTCCTTTCTAAGAATAATTTTCATATATTTACTTGGGGGTGCATGTGAAGGTCAGAGGACAGCTTGCCTGTGGGTTCCAAGGACAGTACTTGGGTCATCAGGCTTAACAGTAAGCACCCCTACCCTCTAGCTGTCAGCTAGATTCATTGCCTAGTCTTACAGCTTTATGTTTTCTGCACATTTTCCTCTATCAGGTCTTAAATTAAGGTCTTTGATCCATTTTTTTTTTTAGTAGATTTTTGTCGGAGTGAGATGAGGGATCTAGTTTCAGCCTTGATAATTGGATATCCAATTTCCCTGCACCATTTGTTAAAGAGACCATCTTTTCCCCAGGATGCAATGTTGTGGTCTATCTGGTGGCTGTGGCTGTGTGGGTTTATTTCTGGGTTCAGCCCAGTACGTTAACACACCATATTGTCTTCTATCTGGGCTTGGAGGGAGAGGGTGTCAAATGGTTGACATGCAGAAATAGCATGTCCAATAGGTACTGCATGTCTTATATCTGCCTTTGTCATTTTAGGGGCACACATACAGTCTTCTCCCACCAAAAAATTACTCTGAAGTATGCAAAAACTGTAATGATGCATACAAAAACCTGAGCGCCCTGTATACTGAAATGCAGAAAAAGAACGGGCTTGAGAATAAGGCTGAGCCGGGAACGCACCTGTGCATTGACGTGGAAGACGCAGTAAGTACCTCACTCTGGTGTGATTCTGATTTGCAGTTGCTGGGTTCAGTGTTATCCTTTATTTGGGAGCGCACTTGAATATGCACACGGCGTCTTCAGCCAGACAGAACTACAGTAGTTACAAAGTAACTTGAACATGCACACCGCATCTTCAGCCAGAAAGAACTACAGTAGTTACAAAGTAACGGCGGTGGGTTTGTGGATCTGTAGCAGAGCAGGATGGACATTAGCCAGGCCCCTCATGGATGAGTTAATTTAAAGTGGGTGTTGTTTTCAGGATCTTGGTGTTCTTGTGTGCTTATATTTCCGTTTCTTTTGTAGTTGGTGCTGATTAAAGAGGGTTTACATTTTATTGCCATGTTTTCAGAAGATCTCGTTCTTAATTATTGTATTTATTTCTTTTGTTTGTTTTTTGAGACAGGGTTTCTCTGTGTAGCTTTGGAGCCTGTCCTGGAACTCTCTCTGTAGACCAGGTTGGCCTGACTCTGCACCCTGAGTGCTGGGATTAAAGGCGTGTGCCACCACTGCCTGGCCTTGTATTAATTTCCTTATATATATGATAATCTGAACCATTTTTCATGGTCTGTCTCCTCTGAATTATAAGACGCATGAGGACAAGGACCAAGTGTTTCTTTTCTTTCCTTTTTTTTGTTTTGTTTTGTTTTGTTTAATCAAAGTTTTTCTGTGTAACAGTTCTGGCTGTCTTAGAATTCACGCCTGTAGACCAGGCTGGCCTCAAACTCACAGAGATCTGCCTGTCTCTGCCTCCCAAGTGCTGGGGTTAAAGGTGTGCATTACTGCTGCCCGGTTTGACCTAGTGTTTCTTTTTCTTTCTTTCTTTTTTTTTTTTTTTTTTTTTTTTTTTTTTTTTTTTTTTTGACCTAGTGTTTCTTAATTCATTGTTTAGCAGGTAGGACAATGAGCAGCATAGAGCGTGTCTGTACACGCTTTCCTTTAAAAGGACGTCTCATTATGAAGCCCAGGCCAGCCTTGAACTTGAAGTTCAAGGGTGGCATTTTGTGTGCTTTTGTAAATATATGTGGATAGAGTGAATGTTGGAGGATGGGGAAGCCTTTTCTCCACTGTACAGCCTGTCTTTTCACAGAGCACCACTAGGTGGCAGTCATGCCCCCAGGCAACATGATGCTTGAGAATTAGTTTTTTGGGAAAACAAATCATTGACTCAAAGTAGAGAACTCAAGATCAAAATGGCTAAGCTTGCTTGTTAAGCTGTTTGGATACATACATATACATATATATTAAAGACAAGTATAATATCAGATAATAATATACATTTCTCCAGATGAACATTACTCGAAAGCTTTGGAGTCGGACCTTCAACTGTTCTGTCACCTGTAGCGACACGGTGTCTGTGGTCGCTGTTTCTGTGTTCATCCTCTTTTTGCCCGTTGTCTTCTACCTTAGCAGCTTTCTTCATTCGGAGCAAAAGAAACGCAAACTCATTCTACGTAAGTTCCCATTCTATAGCCATTCGTGTATTTAGTTAATGGCCTATTACTAAAAAGATTTAGGGTTAAGGAGTGCTAAAGCACTTACCTGTGTGCATAAGTTCCTGTACACAACAGTCAGCATCATAAAGCAGGGGAAAATATAGATCTGTTTTAGAAACCGTATGGCAATCACCCTTACCTGCCAAGCCATCTTGTTAGCTTTCCATGGTTTTTTTTTTCTTTTTTCTTTTTTTCTTTTTTTTTTTTTTTGTGGCACTTAGTCAATAGCTAGTGTGAGATGAATAATTTAGGTTACTTAACTTTCATTTATTTGTTCCACCTGATAGGTTTATCTCCCTTGATTGGATTGTAAAGTTCATCAGAACAAGAATTATTTTTTTCTTGTTTCCTATCATATCACCAGTGTCTAGGAAGTGCCTGGCTATAGTGAGCTCTCACAAACTTCTGTGCAACAAAAGAATACTGTGGTCTATTTAATGTTAGTGTCATTCCTCAAAAGACTAGTCCTGTGAAATTCTTTGTGGAAAAAATACTGCATCAAATATTGTCAGGCAGTTCCGCTTTCAGGAAGCAGAGGCAGGTGGATTATTGGGTTCCAAGCAAGCCTGGTCTACAGAGCGAGTTCTAAGCCAGCCCAGCTTTGTGGTTCAACCCTGTCTCAAAAACAATAAACACAACAAAAAACTCAAAGCAACCAAACAACAAAAAGAGAAGGGAGGGGAGAAAGCTACACACAACAATCCCCCAAACAAATGCTAGTATGAAGAAAGAGTCCATACGCTGACACTCATGGGCATTTCCTCTCCCTTCCCCACCTGTCATCCTCCTTCCTCTCTCCCCTTCCCTCCCTCCCTGCATAAAGTGATGACATGATGCCCCATGGTATGGTTGAGGGGATGGTTTTCATTGTAGATGTGTGAGAACAGCCAGAGCCATCTGGAAGAGTCCAGAGCAGGGAGAGAAAGAAGTAGACATGGCCAGGGCTATGTGAGAAGGGGAGAATATCAGGGAATAGAGAATAGAGAAAACACAGTGAGAGAAGCTGAAGCAGAGCAGATTGAGGGAGAGAGGAAGGGAAGGAGGGAGAGAGTACACACAGGCTGACCTTGAACTCATGGCAGTCCCCCTGCCTCAGCTTCCCAAATGCTGGGGTTGCAGGTCTGCCCCATGATGCCTGGCTCATTTACTTTTCATTGTGCTACTGTTCAATAAGCAGTTACTGGCTGTTAATCAAAATGCACTGTAATGTAATTCAGTAAAGAGTGTCATGGCCCTCACCCACCATTACCTCAGAGCATGATGGCCCTCCCCCACCATTACCTCAGAGCCCCCCACCATTACCTCAGAGTGTGATGGCTCTCACTGGCCATTACCTCAGAGTGTGATGGCTCTCACCGGCCATTACCTCAGAGTGAGATGGCCCTCACCCACCATTACCTCAGAGTGAGATGGCCCTCACCCACCATTACCTCAGAGTGTGATGGCTCTCACCGGCCATTACCTCAGAGTGAGATGGCCCTCACCCACTGTTACCTCAGAGTGTGATGGCTCTCACCCACCATTATCTCAGAGTGAGATGGCCCTCACCCACCATTACCTCAGAGTGTGATGGCTCTCACTGGCCATTACCTCAGAGTATGATGGCTCTCACCGGCCATTACCTCAGAGTGAGATGGCCCTCACCCACTGTTACCTCAGAGTGTGATGGCTCTCACCCACCATTATCTCAGAGTGAGATGGCCCTCACCCACCATTACCTCAGAGTGTGATGGCTCTCACTGGCCATTACCTCAGAGTATGATGGCTCTCACCGGCCATTACCTCAGAGTGAGATGGCCCTCACCCACCATTACCTCAGAGTGTGATGGCAATAACCCACCATTCCCTCAGAGTGTGATGGCAATAACCCACCATTCCCTCAGAGTGTGATGGCAATAACCCACCATTCCCTCAGAGTGTGATGGCAATAACCCACCATTCCCTCAGAGTGTGATGGCAATAACCCACCATTCCCTCAGAGTGAGATGGCCCTCCCCCACCATTACCTCAGAGTGTGATGGCTGTCACCGGCCATTACCTCAGAGTGAGATGGCCCTCACCCACCATTACCTCAGAGTGTGATGGCTCTCCCCGGCCATTACCTCAGAGTGTGATGGCCCTCACTGGCCATTACCTCAGAGTGAGATGGCCCTCACCCACCGTTACCTCAGAGCGTGATGGCTCTCACCGGCCATTACCTCAGAGTGAGATGGCCCTCACCCACCATTGCAGCTGTGCAGAGGTAGAGGCACATAGTGTGACTGCGTCACAGAGTTAGGGGCTTTGGAACACATAGATAGGTATCCTTTGGATAGGAGTTTAGAAAATGTGAGGACTTACCAACTAGACTAGCAAATTTCAGGTACTCAGATTTCCTGGTCTTACTGCCTTGCCACTTTATTAAGTAATTTGATAATTAGTGAGAAGCAGTTCTTAGTAAAGTAAGTAGAAACCAAGCCAAAACAAAAACCTGAGCTACACATTTGCTTTCCAAATCCAGCCCAGGCTTAGTACACTTAAAAGCTGCCCGCTGGTCCAGGAAGCCATGCTAGGGCTATTATTCCTGTCTTTGGCTATGAGACTTATGTGCAGGGCTTAAACAGGGCACAGGAATAGAGGTGCCAGGGCCCTGGCACACAGCCCTGCAAACCTTTGAGGCCAGCAATTCTCAGATCTCAGTGTGTGCACTCACACTGGGGCACTGTGGGTTTTCACTTCTACATCATGAGAAACATTGGCACTCAGCTGCTTACAACTCCTTACCTAGCCAGGCAGCCATGACTGTTTTAAACTGGTGGCTTGGTCCTATGAGCATCATAGTCAGAGCTGGTTGTCACACATTTTCTTGATGGTGTGTATGTTGGTGCATGTACATGTGAAACACAGCTCAGTTTTCTTTTTGTTTTTGGTTTTTAGACAGGGCTTCTCTGTAGCTTTGGAGCCTGTCCCGGGACTCACTCTATAGACCAGGCTGGTCTTGAACTCACAGAGATCCACCTGCCTCTGCCTCCCAAGTGCTGGGATTAAAGGCGTGTTTAGAATGGGGTTTCTAGCTTGTACTTTTATTGTGTTCTTTATCTACACATTTAAGATTGCAATGTTCAAGGTGTGAATGCCTGTTTTATTCCATACTGCTTTTAACAAAGTCATGGGTAATTTCTACTTAGCTTAATTTTATGCTGCTCATAAAGGAAAAGAAAAACACATTGGGTTTAATTCTAAGGTAACTGGATTGGGTCAGATTCAGCCAATAAATAGACAAACATAGTGGTTTTCGTGTAAGTACTGGATGAGCCCATGAGAGCATCTAAGTTGAAACGCAGAACTTGTGTCTCCCCAGCTAAACGTCTCAAGTCAAGTACCAGTTTTGCCAACATTCAAGAAAATTCCACCTGAAACCTGCAAAATGGGGACTCCACCTCCCATCAACTGAGTGAGTGGTTAGCCCACCAGGGGGTCAGGAAGAAGATGAACCCAGATCTGACAAATGACCTTCTTATGGGATGCCAGGGCTGTGGATGTGTAATTCATTCAAATGGCAGTCTTCAAATTTCCTTTTCCTGTTCACGAATTTTTAAAGATTTCTGTATTTTTAATTTTTAGACATAGCAGTGTTCCATATTTTAAAGTATGTGTGTTAAAGTAACAAGTGAGGACTTTGTTTTTGCTTGCATACGACTACTTGACACTTCTGATATCTCCTCGTTGACAAAGTACACAAAACACAAGCAGCTGAAGATGGCCATTTACACGTTAGTCACGGAAGGCCAACTTAGAGATAGAAATATACTCGCCAAATGGTAGCAGACCCAAGGATTAACTTAAATGACTTCCCATTGCAGTATTGTTTATGTATATATATATGAATATTTAATATATTATACATTAAAATAATGTACTCTCTAATTTCCCTGAAGTCATTTTTGACACCACTAATTATAAACCTCCTTAACAATTTTCAGAAGTGATGAGCCACATTATACATTCATCTTTTTTTAGAAGAGTTATGGTAACTGTATTGTTTTGTTTTGTTTTGTTTTTTCCTGAGACAGGGTTTCTCTGTTTAGCTTTGGAACCTGGCTTGGAACTCTCTCTGGAGACCAGGCTGGCCTCAAACTCACAAAGATCCTCCTGCCTCTGCCTCCCGAGTGCTGGGATTAAAGGCGTATGCCACCAAAGCCCGGCCCGTAACTGGTTTTCTTACTTGACTTTTATAAATAGTATTTTACATCTTATTTTTGCCTTTATTTCATAAGTAATTTAAAAATCACTGGACTGCTTTATTAGCTTCAGGATACAATGGATTCATTTTATGCCATGGATTTGCATTGTGAATCTCATTAAATTATTTGGCAACTTGTAACTTATTCTTTAAATGAAACGTAGCACAGGTGTGTCACACTGTATTTAAATTGTGGTTTCTAATGAAAATGTCATCTTGGAATATTTGGAGAGTTGGGGAGAGATGAAAGAGGAACACAGGAGCTTAAAGTTCAGGGAGTGGACAGGGATAAGGGGCGGTCACTGAGAAAGGAACTGCATACTTCATAGTGGAGGTGAACTGGGTAAGTCTCACGCAGGAAGTACTTCCACTAAGGTAATGTCACCTCCAATGATGTAAACGATGGCAGCAGTATGACTGAACTGAAATTACACATTTCCCTGTCAGAAAGCGAGTGTACTCTGAAATGTCTTCAGCAGCTCTAAAATAATGTTTAGTTTCAGGATCATTCAGTTTTATTTCTCAGGATGTAGGAGTTGATGATTTTGTTTGTCAATTCTTTATTTCTCAGTAGGAGCAGGCTTTGTTTTAAAGGTTGTAAATATGGAGGCTCCTCTGGCTGACTACTTAAAAAAGTGTGAGTCCCTTCACAGACTGCAATACACTCTAGAAGGAGACAGGAGTGCTTTGTGTTTTTGTATTTCTACCGCACTTGCAGAGTGTGAGAGCAGGCTCACCCTCGGGGGCATGACAGTCAGGTGACATGGACCAGCTTTTCTGGTCTGCTGTGATCCACTTGCTTGTGCTGTCACTGTCCCTGATTTGTTACTAAGAACACTGTCTGCATTTGAAGCCCATGGTTGAGGGCCATTGAAATCGATCTTCATTAATGCAGATAAAACCAGTTTTCATGTGCAGAGTTAGCCAAGGGATGTGTTTGAATTGAGCAGTGACTCCTTGAGCACCTTTGAACACTGTATGTGCTTTTGGATAAAAAGCTAATGAACACTTAAACAATGCAGCCTTTGCTGTTTTCTCCTAAGGTCCCTGCTCTCTGCAAGTTGCATCAGAAATAGATTTGAAAAATATATGTTAAATGTTCTACTGAGTGCAAAAGAATTTCATCTTATGATCATGTGAAAAGTGTACATAGTTCTGAATACTGAGACACATGTGATGTGTATGCACAAGAAGACCTTTTATGCTTTGCAATAAAGGAAATAACAAGGAAATCAAGTACTGTATTTGAATTTTTATTCTCTTAATTTATTATTATTATTATTGAGACAGGGTTTCACTGTGTAGCCCTGGATGACCTGGAACTCACTCTGTAGTCCAAGCTGGCCTTGAACTCACAGAGATCCACCTGACTCTGCCCCCCAAGTGCTGGAATTAAAGGCACATACCACTACAACCAACTATATTTTGGTTAGTTCATTTAAACAACTTGAGATATAACATCACTCCTTAGCTGTCCTAGTTTTGAGTTTTGTTACTTGTCTAATTAATAATTTTACTGCAAATAAAGTATACCTTGGAATTTTTGTTGCTGGATTTGGGAGGTAAAAATAACATTTTTCAGAGTCTAACATGCACTTTCTAAAATCCATGTAGTGGCAGATGAAGGTTAAGGTTGAGCTTGAGGCCGTGTGTGTGTGTGTGTGTGTGTGTGTGTGTGTGTGTGTGTGTATCTGTGTGTATCTGTGTGTGTCTGTGTCGCGAGTGCTGAGCAAGTTTCTGTAACTAAGCCCCACTCTAGCCCTGGAGTACAGCTCTAAGTCAGTGAATACCCTGAGAATTTAGTTGGTAAATGTCACCCTTTTTATAGTCAGCATTTTCTTATATCTCTTGGAAATGCTGTACTTTAATTATTTTTATTCTTAATGTACTTTTTAGAAGAATCTGGTGGGGGGGGTGGCTGGGAGAGATGGGTGCCATGAAGGCCAGAGGACAACTTGTAGGCTTTCTTCCACCATGTGGGTCCTGAGCACTGAAGTCAGGACATCAGTGTGGTGGCCAGTACCTTTACCTGCTGAGCCATCTTGCTGGCCCTAACAGACTCATTTAAATTGAGACTTTCATAAATGCATGTAATCTTTTTTGGTTAAATCAACCCCCATTACCTTTTCTGCACCCTCCCCTCCCCCACTTTTCCCTTACAACGTCATTTGCTCTATTTTCTTCCCTGAAACCCAGTGAGTCTGTGTCATGCTGCCAGGATGTGCGTGGATATAGGACCATCTACTAGGGCATGGGAAGCCAAGGCTGGCCCTTACATGGGTGCCAAGCACTGGACTTGTGTCTTTTTACTTTAGACCCAGGTGTCTTAGCCACTGAACCATCTTCCCAGGTCCCTTTCATATTAGAAAGGAAGAAAGGTAAGAAGGAAGGAAGGAAGGAAGGAAGGAAGGAAGGAAGGAAGGAAGGAAGGAAGGGAGGAAGGAAGGAAGGGTAAGACCCCCGGAAGCTCAGGCCCCCAGGATCTCGGTCCAGGAACTTGGTCACCCCAATCACCAGGTGGAGTCGAAAGCTTGATGGAAACTGCATGAGGCTTTTTTTATAGTTGTTTAACGAGCTAAACCCATGTTAGCTTGGGTTTTTCATTCACCCACAATGGCACGTCTACATAGAGATCTTATAGGGCAGCATAAGGGAAGTGTCTAGGAGCACAGGCTCAGGATTGGTGTGGCTCCAGGCTTGGAGGGCTTTCCCTGTGTTGATTGGTCAACTGGTTATGGCCCATAGGCCCTCCCAGGGTGGTTGCTATGGTCTGCACGTCATTGCTGTGCACTTGTCCATAAAGCACACTGTGAGTCGTAAAGCATAGTACCACCAGCTAATTTCTGATTGGTTCCTTGCCACGGGGCAGGCATCTGACCTCCTAGGGGCTAAGACAAGGTCTTAAGACAAGCACGTGTTCTGCTGTTATGGCTGCCAAAATGCGGAGCTGGTTCCTTCATTCCCCTATTTTTTTTTTTTTTTTTTTTGGAAATTCCAATCATGGAATTGCTGTCTCTCTAACGTCCCCATCAGGGAGTGAGAGATATTGGCATCCCCATACAAGGGAGTTCCTACTCACTAGCATTTTAACCAGGGAAAATGGCGATGTATTCTTTCCCATGCTACTTCCTGCTGACTTTGGAATGAAGTTACGGACCCAAGAAGGTTGAAATGCTAGTCAAAAGCAAAAAATGGAATTTAGGCAATGGGGAATCCATCAGGAGCTTCTGGTTAGCAGACTGTTGCAGAGACAGGGGGTGTCCACATCAGCTGAACTGGTTCACATCCACAGCAAGTCCAGGATTCGCAACCTACTTAGGAACAGCCTGCAGTCAGCAACTGATACTCAGATGTCTGCCAGAAGCAGAAACCTGCTTAAGACATGTTTAAACTAGGAACAGAGGTTAAAACTTATTTACTGAAGCCCACAGTGCAGAAAAAGCAGATATCTGGATATCTGTTCAAACAGCAGGAACATGTTTATAACTTTGAGTCCCAGCAATAACTACAGTTTTGGGCTAGAAGCATGTACATTTGTCTTCTGTCCAGAGAGCCAGGTATGGATTGGACAGAGGTACCTTTGGCCTGATGAAAAGCCCTTTGAAGCCGGGAGTTGGTGGCGCATACCTTTTATCCCAGCACTTGGGAGGCAGAGGCAGGTGGATCTCTGTGAGTTTGAGGCTAGCCTGGTCTCCACAGCGATTGCCAGGATAGGCTCCAAAGCTATACAGAGAAACCCTGTCTCAAAAACAAAAAAAAAAAAAAGAAAAGAAAAGAAAAGCCCTTTAAGTTTGTACTTAGATGACAACCAAAATAAACCTAAAAACCTTGAGCTTGTGCCTGAACAGTAGATAGTCACTATTTTATCAGCTAACATGCTGACTATAGTCTATAGTGGATCTGACTGTCTGATGCTGTCAAGCTGACAACCATTAATATTTCAGAGATCTGAGAAGGGTATATTTTATCTGAATCTACTAAAAAGTGACAGAAGCCAGTTAGAAGCCAGTCCACATACAGTTAGCCATACCCAAGTTTCTCCATTAGCGCTGGAGGCAGATGCCTCAAAGAACAGCAATCTTTGCCAGGCCTATAAGGTGAGAGGGTTTTTTTTCCCCTCTCTGTAGAAGAGGGACATGGAAAAGACTGACCTTGTTTTGTCTATGCAAAGGGCGTGCAATCAATTTTCCAGTGTCCAGCAGCTTTGTCCACAGTCTCGGCCAGGTCCTGGCAGG